CTACCTGGACAGTGCGCTGCAGGAGAAGGAGTTCAAGTACACGTGTCCGCACAGCTCCGAGATCCTGGCGGCCTACCGGCCGGTCGTGCACCCCCGCTAGTGCCCCTGCCCCCGCCGCCACCTCCGCCCGCTCGTCCACAGCCCCACAAAGCCACCTCTGCTCCAGTGAGCACATCTGCACACCCCAGGGACCAGAGGGCTGAGGTTCTGCCTCCCCTACGCCCCCACTGCGGGCTGCTCAGATGACAGCCCCGAGTGACAGGGGCTGGGACTGGTGGGCGGGGAACAGCCCATCCCCCATCCATCGGGGACGAGGGACTGGATTGGGCTCCCAAACCAGTCAGGCCAGGGCGGAGCGGCAGGAGGGCCGAGGAGGGTGGGGAGCAGAGCCCAGCCGAGCACCTCAGGGCTCCCAGCCAGTGGGTGGGGTGGCCCACATTCCTCAGCCCCACCCCAGGCAGCAGGCCACCCCCACCTCTCGCAGGACCTGTGTGCATGGTATGGGGTCCTCGAGGCCATGCCCTGCTGGGTGGGGGAAGAGGGGTGTGCCCCAGGGGGTGACGGAGTTCCAGGCCTGGGGAGCCCCGGCCCAGCCCTGCATGGCCCTCAGCTCCTGGGCTGGCTGGCCGTGGCGGCTGGGCCGGTTGGAGAGGTTGGCAGCTCCGCCAACAGGGACGGAGAGCCTGACACATCTGTTTACCGCCTGCGCCCACACCCGGGTGGCAGCCAGGAGTGGGGGGCATGCGGTCCCTCTCCCCCAGCCCCCAAGAGACAGAGCCTCGCTCGACCAGAGTTTATTGGGTGGGGGAGGGGCTTGCTCTGCGGGGGAGGTGGCAGGGCCTCCGAGGCTGCCCCTCTTCTCACCGGCCAACTCCAGGCGGGACCCCTCTCCGCGGCAGGGTCAGAGGTCATCAAAATCGACACCACTGGCTGGTTTCTTACTGGGAGAGAGGAGGGGGTGACATTACGGGGTGCAGAGGGAAGGGCTGGGCCTTGGGCAGGAGAGGGAGGGGCAGCGGGCCTCACCTTTTGAAGCCGGGGTTGATGAGCGACTCCCCGGGGCACCGCCTCCTGACCCCAGGTCCAGGGCAGCCTCTCTGAGACTCTGGGTCTGGGGAAAGCAGGATGGAGGGGCCTGAACGCAGGGGGACCCCAGGGCCGCCACCCCCCCCTCCACGCAGACAGGGAAACCGAGTCACAGAGGAATGGGCACGGCCCCGCCTCAGGCCCCGGTGAGAGGCCTCACCTGGGAGGAACTGCTGAGGGCCCCCCGGCCGCGGGCTCTTCCTGGTTTCTGAAATCCAAATATAACATTTTCCCCTGGATGTATAGTCCCAGTAAAGCCTAATCTGCCATCAACAGTAGTGGTCAGACCTCCCAACTTAATGTTATCCATAGATTGACAACAAGCTGTTTATGTCTTCATTTGCTAGCCAGGGTGGTCCAAAATTGGCATTGATTTATTACTCAAAGTCTTTTGAAGATAGCTGTTCAAACAGCTGAAAAAAAAATCCACCTTGCTA